AAAGATCCTCCCTCCCAGCCTTTATTATTATTATTATTATTATTATTATTATTATTATTATTATTATTATTATTATTATTATTATCACCACCATCATTATCTTTCCTCATTAAAAACTTTCAACCATTGGCCTTTCTGAAAACTCCAGGTCGTTTACTCAATCTGGCACAATCGACACACTCTCTCTCTCTCTCAGGTATGTGTCTTCTTCTTGTGTGTATGTGTGTCTCTCTCTCTTTCTCTGTCTCTCTCTGTCTCTCGTTATTTAAAATCGAGCCAAAATCTCTGTTATCTCTCTAACCTCCAGGTCACAGCCACCCATCACCTGGTCTGGCTGACACATTCGACGGCGACTTTGGTGGGAAGCTAAACGTCTTTTCTGTGTTACTCTGTGTACGAGGCGTCTGTTGAGGGTCACTATGGGGGAGAATTGGGACGTTGTCTCCTCTACCTGTGGGCGTCTGAGTCCTTGATGAAATCCATTTTTTTTTGTTTCCACAGGTGATAAGATCCTAAGGGACCCAATCAATGTGAAAAAAAAACAATATCTGTATTTTTTCTTATTTTTTTGTTTTATTCCAGATGCCAAAAAATAATATATTTATTATTATTGTTTTATTTCCCAGCTGCCAAAAGCATGTGACAACAGCCTGGTGAATCTATCTTTCCAGGTGTTAATTATGTGAGATCAGGTAGGTAGCAACAGGTGTTTCCCAGGTGTGTATATACTATGGGTCTACCTGTAATTAAGTTCATTTTATCCCTCCGAAAAAGTTATACTCTCCCTTAAACCTTAATATGGATTTTCTTGTTAAAAGTTTCGTATGTGGAAATGTGAACCAAACTGTAATTCCTGTGTGAGGTTAGGTTAGGTTACGCTAGGTTAGGTTAGGTTAGGTTAGATTAGATTAGGTTAGGTTTGGTTAGGTTTGGTTAGGTTATGTTAGGTTAGGTTAGGTTTGGTTATGTTAGGTTATTTTCACAGTAAGAGAGGAACAGGTAACCCATCTTTTCTGTTAGTTATTGTTAGTTAAGTCTCCCTCAGACACGAGAAACATCCGTCAGTGACATCAGGAGGGGCGGAGGTGTGAAGAAATACTGAAACACTTTAACTAATCTGCCAATTATCAGTGTAACAACAACAACAACAACAACAACAACAACCACTACAACAACTAGCGCAGCAATAACACTTGCACCTACACCAACCATAATACCTATAACAATCACAACAACCACAACGTCTATAACAATCACAACAACAACTATCGCAAGACCTACAACAATCACAACAGCAACAACTATAACAACTACAGCAACAACCACAAGACCTACAACAACCACAACACTTACAACCATAACAACTAAAGCAACAACCACAAGACCTACAACAACCACAACACTTTCAACCATAACAACACCACAGATCTTGAGTCACAGGACACGTATTAAGTGTTATGGTGTGGTCAAAACTCCATTAACTTAGTGTGTCAAACTCCATATTTAGTATTAACACGGCGCGCCATTAACCTAGAGTGGAGGGAACAGGTGGTGGAGGGAACAGGTGGAGGAGGGAACAGGTGGAGGAGGCTGACTATAGTGGCAGGGAGAATGTGGTCGTGGTGGAGGGAACAGGTGGAGGAGGCTGACTATAGTGGCTTCCTAACCTAACCTAACCTAACCTAACCTAACCTAACCTAACCTCAAGTTTTCGAGTGCAAAAATAATCAAAGCTGCTGAATCTAACGTAACCTAACCTAACGTGACCTTACCTGACCTGACCTGACCTGACCCAGATGAGGTAAGGTTGAGATATTGCGATATAAATTACTGCTGCAGTATTTCGGGTTTGGTAAAAATCAATTCCTGGCTCCGGGTAGTCGAGACGGGCTGGACTGAAGCCAACCTCACAGCAGGTATATAGAACCTCTGGCTGTCATGAATATTAAACGCCCCAGCATATTTTACCTGATGATTGACCACTCTAACGCTAACCTAACGCTAACTTAACCAAACGCTAAGTTAACATGACCTAACGCTAACTTAACATGACCTAACGCTACCCTAACCTAACCTAACCTAACCTAACTTAACCAAACCTAACCTAACCTAAATTAACCTAACCAAATTAATCCATACTTAACCCCCCCTCCCCATAGCGTTAGAGGGTACTTAGGTGAAATAAGGTAAAAATATCTAATCATCAGGTGAACCAAAACACCTATAATTTAACCCCCTCATTTTAATTACTCCTACATGATGGTGATATTAGACACAACCATAATATTATAATCTTTGTTAAAAATAAATTGTTGTGAGACAAAGAGAAGCGTTGTGGGCCAGGAGTTGTGGGGGAAAAAGAACAGGAGAGAGTTACCGACACAGAGGCAGACGGGGGCGAACAATAGACAGAGAGACGGAGAGTGACAGCGTCCATTCTCGTCCGTCTCTTCTGTCTACTACACCTCGCTCTGCCACGGCCTCTCTCAATCTATTGCCCGACTCGTCAACGCTGCCACGTACCCTACAAGACCGCCTGTGTGTGTGTGTGTGTGTGTGTGTGTGTGTGTGTGTAGAAGGAAAAACTGACCCCTATTGATCTTTAAAGGACTGTCGACCTTTTTCCGATTCACCACAAATTGAGGCACTTTATAGCCAAGATGTATAGTCACCTCCCTCATGTCGTTCTTCACCCTCTCAAGTCGTTCTTCATCCCCTCGAGTCGTTTTTCATACCCTCAAAGCGTTCTTCATCCCCTCAAGTCGTCCCTCACCCCCTTAAGTCGTCCTTCACCCCCTCAAGTTGTCCTTCACAAGTTGTCCTTCACCCCTCAGGTTGTCCCTCACCCCTCAAGACGTCCCTCACCCCTCAAGATGTCCCTCACTCTCTCAGTCGTCCCTCACCCCTCAAGTCGTCCCTTACCCCCTCAAGTCGTCCTTCACCCCCACTCAAGTTGTCCTTCACCCCCCTCAGAGTTGTCCCTCACCCCCCTCAAGACGTCCCTCACCCCCCCTCAAAGATGTCCCTCACCCCTCAAGACGTCCCTCACCCCCTCAAGTCGTCTCCCACCCCTCAAGTCGTCCTTCACCCCCTCAAGGTTGTCCTTCACCCCCTCAAGTTGTCCTTCACCCCCTCAAGGGGTTGTCCCTCACCCCCCCTCAAGACCCTCACCCCCCCTCAAGATGTCCCGTCACCCTCACAAGTCATCCCTCCCCCACACCCTCTCAAGTCGTCCCCTCCCCCCTCAGTCAGTTTCTCCTTCAAGTCGTCCCTCACCCCCTTCAAGTCGTCCCTCACCCCCTTCAAGTCGTCCCTCCCCACCCCTCAAGTTGTCCCTCACCCCCTCAAGTTGTCCCTCACCCCCCTCAAGTTGTCCTCACCCTCTCAAGTTGTCCCTCACCCCCCTCAAGACGTCCCTCACCCCCTCAAGTTGTTCCCTCACCCCCTCAAGACGTCCCTCACCCCTCAGACGTCCCTCACCCCCCCTCAGAACCGTCCCTCACCCCCCCCTCAAGACGTTCCTCACCCCCCTCAAGACGATTCCTCACCCCCTCAAGACATCCCCTCACCCCCCTCAAGACGATCCCCTCACCCCTCAAGTTGTCCCTCACCCCTCAAGACGTCCCCTCACCCCCTCAAGACGTCCCTCACCCCTTGGGAACGTCCCTCACCCCCCTCAAGTTGTCCCTCACCCCTCAAGTTTGTCCCTCACACCCCCTCAGACGTCCCTCAACCCCTCAAGTTGTGTGTAAGGTAGTGTTAATGCTCTCTCTCTCTCTCTCTCTCTCTCTCTCTCTCTCTCATATAAAATACTCGAGTTAGTGAGCCAAAAAAGGTAACTAAATTGATTAAAACTCAACAACTCTCTTTCTCAGCAATATTCCCGTCGTATCCTCTACCAACGCCAACATGATGACTTCGTTGCACGTTCATATTGCATTCATTTGCAATATTTTTTCAATGGGGAGCAGTGTATCGTGCAAGGCCCTCACTCAATACTACATTGTGTGTATCGGGGATTATCTGGCCAAGGTTGTGCTTGTTGAGAGAGAGAGAGAGAGAGAGAGAGAGAGAGAGAGAGATGCGGCAGCCGTCAGGACACAACTTTGGTTATATCAGTAGAACGTTTGTCTTCCCTCCCATTCCCTCTTTTTTTCCTCCCTTCCTTTCTTCATTTTTCTTTCCTCCCTTCCTTCTTCCGACCCTTCCGCCCCTCTCTTTTTCTCTCTCCCCTTCTCTCCCTTTCCTTTTTTCCTCTTTTCCTTCCTTCGTTCTTCCCTTCCGCCCCTTCTCTCTCTTTCTTTCCCTTCCTCCTTCCTTCCTTCTTTCCTTCCGACCCCTCTATCTCCCCCCCTTCCCTCCCTCCCTCCTTCCCTCCCGCCCTCCTTTCCCTTCCCTTCTCTCCCTTCTCTCCTGCCCCCTCCCTCGACAGAAACAAAAATCAATAGGCATCATCAACTGTGCCTAAAGAACTAACGTGCAAAGTTTTATATTTATGTTACGAATAGAACTCAATCTTTCGTCCGGACACCATTTGCTTACGGGCGGACGGACGGACAAGGTCATGACTTTGTCTTTTGAGGGTCATTTGACCTTTGGAATCATCTTGTCTTCCTCATGTGACTTACTTCAAGAAATTCCTCTGTTTTAGAGTTCAGTCTTAGAGAAAATAGAGGCTGTAAAAATAAAATAATTTCAAATTGATTCAATGTGTTTTTCCTTACATCTGTTTATCACGTAGAGGAAGAGGGAGAGTAGGCTTGGACGGAGCAGAGGAAGGATAATACCAGGGAAAAAGCGATACAGATGGAGGATTGAGGAGTGACAGAGAGAGAGAGAGAGAGAGAGAGAGAGAGAGAGAGAGAGAGAGAGAGAAATGATGATTATGGGAAATATTAGAAAGGAAGAGGAGAAAGATAACAGTAACAAATGTAAACAGTAGCAGAATAAATACACGACGTAAATACGAGGCAATTATAAAGTTACGTTGTGGTACTAACCTAAGAACCGTTTGTTGACTGTGACGTGCTGAGGGGTGTTGTCGTCCATAGGATCATCGTCCGTGTAGTCGTCCTCTTGTTGGAAGTAGTCGTTATCCGCGTCGTCGTCCAAGGAGTCGTATCCGCGCTTGTAGGCTCGGTGCATGTAGAGGTTTCCATTCCTGGCCAGAGACTGTATACTCCTCTTGCTGTCCGGTATTGGTGGAGAGGCTCTCAAGCTGTCGATCAAGGCGATGACTTTACTGTTCCCATTAAGAAGGCTCTGCCGTTGGCGTTTCCTCAAGAGGCCTTTCTGGATTTCCATACGTATTAGACGCTCGAGGTAAGCGGCGTTGTCTGCGGGCGTGTTTGGGGCGTCGCGTCGGTTTTGGCGCGACCTGGAGTAAGGATAAGGCATGTTGTTGCTCTTGGCCAGCGACCCGATGTACCGCTTTCGTCTCGGGTGGTTGGCTGTTTCCTCCTCGAGCTCACTCCCTTCAACACCTTGGCTGCTATAACCCTCGTCTGCAGGCTGGTCCTCTGCCACAATACTCGTCGTCTCCCTTTTATGCAACAAGGAACCGAGGTGACGTTTTTCTGCAGACTGAGTGTCTGAAGTGAACCTCATTTGTCTGTTCTGAAATAAGGATCCAAGGTGACGTTTGTCTGGTGTAAAGCTTGACTGTCTGTTCTGCAGCAGTGAAGAAAAGTGGCGTTTGTCTGCTGACTGGTCACCTGGTGCAAAGCTTGACTGTCTGTTCTGAAGCAGTGAAGAAAAATGGCGTTTGTCTGCTGACTGGTCACTTGGTGCATAGCTTGACTGTCTGTTCTGAAGCAGTGAAGAAAAGTGGCGTTTGTCTGCTGATTGGTCACTTGGTGCAAAGCTTGATTGTCTGTTCTGCAGCAGTGAAGAAAAGTGGCGTTTGTCTGCTGACTGGTCACCTGGTGCAAAGCTTGACTGTCTGTTCTGCAGCAGTGAAGAAAAGTGGCGTTTGTCTGCTGACTGGTCACTTGGTGCAAAGCTTGACTGTCTGTTCTGAAGCAGTGAAGAAAAGTGGCGTTTGTCTGCTGACTGGTCACCTGGTGCAAAGCTTGATTGTCTGTTCTGCAGCAGTGAAGAAAAGTGGCGTTTGTCTGCTGACTGGTCACTTTGTGCAAAAGCTTGACTGTCTGTTCCTGAAGCAGTGAAGAAAAATGGCGTTTGTCTGCTGACTGGCGGTCACCTGGTGCAAAAGCTTGATTGTCTGTTCTGCAGCAGTGAAGAAAAAGTAGCGTTTGTCTGCTGACTGGTCACCTGGTGCAAAACTTGATTAACTACCATTCTGAAGCGACGAAGAAAGTGGCGTTTGTCTTTGACTGGTCACCTGAATTGCAAAAGCTTGACTGTCTGTTCTGCAGCAATGAAGAAAAGTGGCGTTTGTCTGCTGACTGGTCACCTGGTGCAAAGCTTGACTGTCTGTTCTGCAGCAGTGAAGAAAAGTGGCGTTTGCCTGCTGACTGGTCACCTGGTGCAAAGCTTGACTGTCTGTTCTGCAGCAGTGAAGAAAAGTGGCGTTTGCCTGCTGACTGGTCACCTGGTGCAAAGCTTGACTGTCTGTTCTGCAGCAGTGAAGAAAAGTGGCGTTTGCCTGCTGACTGGTCACCTGGTGCAAAGCTTGACTGTCTGTTCTGCAGCAGTGAAGAAAAGTGGCGTTTCCCTGCTGACTGACTACCTGGACCAAAACCTGTTTGTCTGTTCCGTAAGAGTGAAGCAAAGTACCTCTTGTTGACACCGAAGGAGTTAGAGGCAGGAAGGTTCTTCATCAGAGAGGCAATGTGTCGCTTGTCCATTTCTTCAAAGTCATAGTCGTCGTTCCCTTCGTCGTCGTCATCCTCGACACTGACCTCCTCGGTGATGGGCTCTCCAGATTTCTTCAGGAGAGAAGCGTAATATCGTTTGTTGATATCGTCCACTTCCTCTTCCAAGGGGCTTAATACCGAGTTCTTGTGCTTCAAGAGGGAAGAGAAGTGTCGCTTGTCCAACGACTCAAGGTCTTCCTCGTCGTCGTGTCCCTCATCATCCTTCGGGAGAGAACCCAAGACTCCTTCGTCGTCCAGGTCTTTTGAAAGTTCTTGAGAGAGATCCTCCGATTTTTTGCTCAGAAGGGAAGCCAGATGTCGTTTTTCTTCATAAATAGAATCATCACTTCTTCTTGGTTTATAAAGAGACGCCAGATGTCGCTTTTCTTCATCAATAGAATCATCACTTCTTCTTGGTTTATAAAGAGACGCCAGATGTCGCTTTTCTTCATCAATAGAATCATCACTTTTTCTTGGTTTATAAAGAGATGCCAAGTGTCGTTTTTCTTCATCAATAGAATCATCACTTCTTCTTGGTTTATAAAGAGACGACAGATGCCGCTTTTCTTCGTCAATAGAATCATCACTTCTTCTTGGTTTATAAAGAGATGCCAAGTGTCGTTTTTCTTCGTCAATAGAATCATCACTTCTTCTTGGTTTATAAAGAGATGCCAAGTGTCGTTTTTCTTCATCAATAGAATCATCACTTCTTCTTGGTTTATAAAGAGATGCCAAGTGTCGTTTTTCTTCATCAATAGAATCATCACTTCTTTTTGGTTTATAAAGAGATGCCAAGTGTCGTTTTTCTTCATCAATAGAATCATCACTTCTTCTTGGTTTATAAAGAGATGCCAAATGTCGCTTTTCTTCATCAAAAGAATCAATAGAATCATCACTTCTTCTTGGTTTATAAAGAGATGCCAGATGTCGCTTTTCTTCGTCAATAGAATCATCACTTCTTCTTGGTTTATAAAGAGATGCCAGGTGTCGCTTTTCTTCATCAAAAGAATCAATAGAATCATCACTTCTTCTTGGTCTGAAAAGAGATGCCAAGTGTCGCTTTTCTTCTTCAAAAGAATCAATAGAATCATCACTTCTTCTTGGTTTATAAAGAGATGCCAGATGTCGCTTTTCTTCATCAATAGAATCATCACTTCTTCTTGGCTTATAAAGAGATGCCAGATGTCGCTTTTCTTCATCAATAGAATCATCACTTCTTCTTGGTTTATAAAGAGATGCCAGATGTCGCTTTTCTTCTTCAAAAGAATCAATAGAATCATCACTTCTTCTGGGTTTATAAAGAGATGCCAGATGTCGCTTTTCTTCATCAATAGAATCATCACTTCTTCTTGGTTTATAAAGAGATGCCAGATGTCGCTTTTCTTCATCAATAGAATCATCACTTCTTCTGGGTTTATAAAGAGATGCCAGATGTCGCTTTTCTTCATCAATAGAATCATCACTTCTTCTTGGTTTATAAAGAGATGCCAGATGTCGCTTTTCTTCATCAATAGAATCATCACTTCTTCTTGGTTTAAAGAGATGCCAGATGTCGCTTTTCTTCATCAATAGAATCATCACTTCTTCTGGGTTTATAAAGAGATGCCAGATGTCGCTTTTTCTTCATCAATAGAATCATCGCTTCTTCTTGGTTTTATAAAGAGATGCCAGATGTCGTTTTACTTCATCAAAAGAATCAATAGAATCATCACTTCTTCTGGCTTAAAAAAGATGCCAGATGTCGTTTTTCTTCATCAATAGAATCATCACTTCTTCTTGGTTTATAAAGAGATGCTAGATGTCGTTTACTTCATCAAAAGAATCAATAGAATCATCACTTCTTCTGGTTTAACAAAGATGCCAGATGTCTCTTTACTTCATCAAAAGAATCAATAGAATCATCACTTCTTCTTGGTTTATAAAGAGATGCCAAGTGTCGCTTTACTTCATCAAAAGAATCAATAGAATCATCACTTCTTCTGGGTTTAAAACAAAGATGCCAGATGCCTCTTTTCTTCATCAATAGAATCATCACTTCTTCTTGGTTTATAAAGAGAAGCCAGATGTCGCTTTTTTCTTCAAAAGAATCAACAGAATCATCACTTCTTTTGGTTTATAAAAAGACGCCAGATGTCGCTTTTCTTCATCAATAGAATCATCACTTCTTCTTGGTTTATAAAGAGATGCCAGATGTCGCTTTTCTTCATCAATAGAATCATCACTTCTTCTTGGTTTATAAAGAGATGCCAGATGTCGCTTTTCTTCATCAATAGAATCATCACTTCTTCTAGGTTTGTAAAGAGATGCCAGATGTCGTTTTTCTTCATCAATAGAATCATCACTTCTTCTTGGTTTATAAAGAGATGCCAGATGTCGCTTTTCTTCATCAATAGAATCATCACTTCTTCTTGGTTTATAAAGAGATGCCAAGTATCGCTTTACTTCATCAAAAGAATCAATAGAATCATCACTTCTTCTTGGTTTATAAAGAGATGCCAAGTGTCGTTTTTCTTCATCAATAGAATCATCACTTCTTCTTGGTTTATAAAGAGATGCCAGATGTCGCTTTTCTTCTTCAAAAGAATCAACAGAATCATCACTTCTTTTTGGTTTATAAAGAGATGCCAGATGTCGTTTTTCTTCATCAATAGAATCATCACTTCTTCTTGGTTTATAAAGAGATGCCAAGTGTCTCTTTACTTCATCAAAAGAATCAATAGAATCATCACTTCTTCTTGGTTTATAAAGAGATGCCAAGTGTCGCTTTACATCATCAAAAGAATCAATAGAATCATCACTTCTTCTAGGTTTGTAAAGAGATGCCAGATGTCGTTTTTCTTCATCAATAGAATCATCACTTCTTCTTGGTTTATAAATAGATGCCAAGTATCGCTTTACTTCATCAAAAGAATCAATAGAATCATCACTTCTTCTTGGTTTATAAAGAGATGCCAAGTGTCGTTTTTCTTCATCAATAGAATCATCACTTCTTCTTGGTTTATAAAGAGATGCCAGATGTCGCTTTTCTTCTTCAAAAGAATCAACAGAATCATCACTTCTTTTTGGTTTATAAAGAGATGCCAGATGTCGTTTTTCTTCATCAATAGAATCATCACTTCTTCTTGGTTTATAAAGAGATGCCAGATGTCGCTTTTCTTCTTCAAAAGAATCAACAGAATCATCACTTCTTTTTGGTTTTGTAAAGAGATGCCAGATGTCGTTTTTCTTCATCAATAGAATCATCACTTCTTCTTGGTTTATAAAGAGATGCCAGATGTCGCTTTTCTTCATCAATAGAATCATCACTTCTTCTAGGTTTGTAAAGAGATGCCAAGTGTCGTTTTTCTTCATCAATAGAATCATCACTTCTTCTTGGTTTATAAAGAGATGCCAAGTGTCGTTTTTCTTCATCAATAGAATCATCACTTCTTCTTGGTTTATAAAGAGACGCCAGATGTCGCTTTTCTTCTTCAAAAGAATCAACAGAATCATCACTTCTTTTTGGTTTATAAAGAGATGCCAAGTGTCGCTTTACTTCATCAAATGAATCAATAGAATCGTCACTTCTTCTGGGTTTAAACAAAGATGACAGATGTCTCTTTTCTTCGTCTAACATCTGAGAGGGGTCGTCGGCTCTCTTACTCAGCAGAGATGCTACGTATCGCTTGTTGACACCAAACCCGTTTCCTGGCTCTCGGCTTTTTAGGAGGGACGAGTAATGGCGCTTGTCGAGGTCAGTGTCATCTGTGTCGTCCAGGTCGTTCAGGTCGAAGAAAACATCGTCGGCTGTATTAGCGGGAAGGTCTTGGAACAGTGAGCTGTAAGAGCGCTTCTCCTGGTCGTCATGGAGGTCGGGGCTGCTGTACCAGGGACTCTTGAGGAGTGAGGCGAAGTAACGCTTTTGCATTAAGAAAGGAACCGAGTTGCTCTTGAGCAAAGACGCAAAGTGTCGTTTGTCTTGGCCCTGCATCACGTTCAGGTGCGCTGTGTGGGGAGGAGTGTTCGACTTTAGGAGAGACGCATAGAACCGTTTGTCTACACCAGGTTCTTCTCTAAATGAGTCAAGAAGAGAAGCGACATACCGTTTGTTGATATTGTTCTCGATGAATGATGGAGGATTACTCTTTAACAAGGAACCAAAATATCGCTTCTGCTGGTGATTCTGTTTCGGAAAATTATTAGCTCTCGCGATGCTTGATAAATGTCGCTTGTCCATATCCACAGACTGAGGTAATGTAACATTTTGCCTGCTGGCGGGGGCAGAGGGAGCGAAGTTCTCCTTGTCAACAGAGGGAGCTGTGTCGTGAGCAGCAACAGACAAGTTCTTCTCGTTCCAGTGATCATCTAGGTTCGTGTCCTTCTTGGTTCTCGGCAATTTACCATCACGGGCTAGACTGGCAATGCTCCGTTTATCTCCCTGCTTGTCTTCCTTGGGCTGTGTGGCGGGGAAGGCGGTGGGAGGGACGGCGCTGCTCTCGGATTTCTTTACATTCTTCGGCATGTTGTTGGTCGCCGCCAGCGATGCCAGATTCCTCTTGTCGTACAACAGGGTGCTGGTGCCATCATGGATGGAGGAGACCTGACCCAAATTCTGCCTCAACTTATTCTCGTTTAAGAGTTTCAGCATTAAGTTTCTCTCCAGTGGCAAATTGTTGCCTGCAGAGAAGCCCAGCGAGGGTCCTCCGTCCAGCCAGCTGCTTCTTGCCTCCACACCCAGGAAGCGCTTTTCTCTGTCCTGCTTGACAACATTGCCAACTACACTTGCGTCGGTGGTAGGTGCAGCACTGGGTGATGACGTCACGTCAGCAGCAACTCTCTGTAGGAAGAAAGAAACAGGAATCATTAACTCATGTATTCTAAGACTGTTCTCCATACAGTATATATTATAATATACACCGAACAATGACATGAGTAATCATTATACTCCCATTAGGACACCCTGAGGTAGTGCCGTCACTGGCTGTATTATGGTTAATGTTGACACCCAGTGAAGGTGTACCAACACTCCCGTGCCTAAACTACAGATATTTGTACAGGTGAGTTATTGTAGAGAAACTTGATGGATTTAATAAATTACAATTAAAGGAACTTTTTTAAAGGCTGAAAATTAATGTTTCTTAGTTTTATTTACAAACAATATTTATAGATACTGTACAAAACACACACACACACACACACACAGCATGCATGTGTCATGTCACGAATGTGTGTCAGATTCCCTGTGTGTTTGTGTCAGGGTACGTGGGGGTGGTAGTAATAGTGGTGGCAGTTGTAGTAATAACAGTGCAACAGCTACCAGAGATTGTGAGGAAAAAAGTAGAGGTAGCGCAGGAGGTGGGCGCCTCAAACTGGCTAACAACTTTACCGATACGAACAAAGGGTTTCAACCTTAATGAACAAGAATTCACAGATGCCATTGTTCTAAGGTATAGTCGGCCAGTGGAAGGCATGCTGGCCCAATCGTGTGTGGAACATCCTATGACATCAACCACGCCATGGTGAACAAGAAAGGAGGTTTCGTTTTCATGAGGCATGATGAAGTAAGGGACCTCACAGCAAATTTGTTGAAGGAGATATGCCACGATGTCACTGTGGAACCGACCCTCCTCCCATTGGATGGTGAGCGTTTCCTTCACAGGACTGCCAACACAACTCGTGTGGACGTCAGTGCTCGAGGACTCTGGACGAGGGGACAGCGAGCCTTCTTTAATATAAGAATACAGTATTTGATCCCCTGGCCACATGTCACCGCGACCTGTCTCTCGAGGCTGCACACATGAGGAATAAGAATGTAAAAAACATAGAATAAGCAAAGAGAATCCAGATCGTGGACCGAGGCAGCTTCACTCCTCTGGTGTTCACAACAGGGGGCGGGATGGGACCAAGTGCAAAGTGTTACTATGCCAGACTGACCGAGGTATTATTAGAACTGAAGCAGCAACTTACAAGTCACATCATGGTTTGCTCTGCTGTGTCTCAGGGGAACAAGATCATCGACCCCTAAACCAACAACAGTCACAGATATGGAGTATGAGGCAACAGTCACTGAACGCAGCATAGATCTTCGGCTTAACTAACCCAGCTAGGGTAGATACAGTACTTTTCTAATAGGATATTTAGGTAGTGAAATGTGTGGTGATAGGCTACAAAGGGAGGTTGGAGGCTAATTAAAAAAACGGTAGTAGTAGTAGTAGTTGTTGCTGTTGTGGTGGTGGTGGTGGTAATGGTGGTAGTAGTAGTGGCTGTAGAGTGGCTGTAGAGTAGTGGCTGAAATGTCTAATCTTAAGGTAAATTCAGCTGGGGTGTCTAATCTTCAGGTGAACTAAGCTGTAGAGTCTAATCTTTAGGTGAACTAAACTGGAGTGTCTAATCTTCAGGTGAACTAAGCTGTGGAGTCTAATCTTTAGGTGAACTAAACTGGAGTGTCTAATCTTCAGGTGAACTAAGCTGTGGAGTCTAATCTTCAGGTAAAAGAAGCTAGAGTGTCTTAATTTCAGGTGATCGATTTTCTTTTGTTTTCAGCTGTTTTTCTCTTAGCAAACACCTGATCGAAACTGAGAGGAGAAGCAGAAGGTCAGAGAGAATAATATGATAAAAAGTGAAAGAGAACAGAAAGTAAAGAGAGAAAACCCAGCTAATGGACAAGATGAACTTAGGTTATTATGAATGATAAGACAAACTCCCGCCAAAAGCTGCTTGAACTCACCAACTGAAGAACGTCAAGCGCAACAGGAATTTGAATCACGTTAAATAAGATGAAGAACACATCAAATACGGACACAAAACGCAAGAAGGAGAGATATATTGTACGATGGAGGGAGATACACTGAGGGTGGGAAAAAATTGTGTACAGTTAACAATAGATGTGTTGTCTGCCTGATGCTGAGAGCCAGACACACTCACATACTCGCAGCCAACCAGGAGCCCAGTGTGTCACCGGGGGGTTGGTATGTGTCCCCAGGGGCAAGTGTGTGTCTCCAGGGGGCAAGGAAGGGGCGTTACTATACAACCGACGGGATAACAGTTTTGATTACACCGTCTTAACTGTCATGTTAAGTTACTGACGTCTGCGAATTCTTGTGAGTATTATCTCTAAGGCCTCAGCATCTCACCAGTGCTGGGAGTGTGGCTGAGGACCAACAACCTTTACTAAACAATAACATATTGTTATTCCCTCGCTATGGTCAACATTCAAGGGGTTTATTATCTTCAACTGATTATCTTCACCTTTTACCTCTCCCCCTCCTTTATCTTCCTCCACCATTTCCTCCCTTCCTTGAGGCTTCCGCTTCCACTGATCCGCACAAGAGAAATGATAACTGAAATAAAACAGGTATCGCACATCTCGCTCCGTTCTCTGCATTAAATTCTTGTTGGGTAAGGAGCGCGGTAAAGAGGGTATGAGTGGGAGGTGGAGGGCCCCACTCACCCGCGTCAGGAGGTATATCATCAAAGGACCTGGGGACGTCTGCCAAACACTCGAGTGAACGCCGCCCGGTAGAAGCTTGTTATTGAATAAAATAGAGAGGAAGGTACACCAGGATACACACACTCAATATCTTCTACGTCAATTGCCTTTATCGTCGTCTGGGAATTTGTGAAAATATTATCCAATTTGTTAACTCAAGATGTTTTGATATATGTAAACTCGTGTCTTGTAAATAACTGGTCGAATAACTTTAGTATGTACAGTAGTTTGAGGTTCATATAGTAGTAGAGGTGACAGCGGGTCCCATATGTCTGTCAGTCCATTTTTCGCTACAGAAGGAGGCAATGTGACCAACACCACACTAGACATCTTTCAAGGTACAGTACCCATTTACAGAAACAGCTGGGAGTAGCCTAGAAGTGAACCAACGGCCTTTATAACAGGAAACAAATACCGAATCCGCTCAGCCACCGCACCTTTTTAGTGGTGGGGGGGTGATGATAACATTTAAGAGAATTATTGACACGACTCACTCTGTAGCTGTATCTGAGGGGTGAGTCATCGTCTTTATGTTATGTTATGTTATGTAGCGGCGGCACCACGACCTACCTGAACGATAATACAGTAAAACAAAGATCAAAAGTTAATGGTCGTGTAATATTATGTTGTATTAAAGTAATTATGATAGTTTTACGTCTCACCCTGACAGCGTGTGGTGGTGGAGCAACTAGGGTGATGTCTCTTCACCCTGTATGGTCACACCGCCTCCTGTGACTGCAGCGTGTTGTCACAGTCACTCCAGAAGTCAACCCCATACATCCACAGCTATACAGGTGAGTTATTAATTTTCCTTGTTAATTAAGGTAAATTTCGTCACTATCAACCACAATGAATACTTAAAAATTATTTGTCGTAAGAAAAGTTTAATCTCGTAAGTGAAACATTCTCGAATATGGAATCGAACCCTGGAACGAGTGAAGGGGTGAGGGTATTAAGAGAGCCAGCCAGCCAGCCAGCCAGCCAGCCAGCCAGCCAGCCAGCCAGCCAACCAGCCAACCAGCCAGCCGCTACCTTTGTGTCTATGGCAACTTGTATTAGCTTATAGCGGGTAGCAGGGATGATCTTCTCCTCTGCCTCCTTCTTCTCCTTCCTTTACCTCTTTCTCCTATGTCTTCTCCTCTTCCCCCCTCCTCTGCCTCCTCCTCCTCTTCTTTCTTCTCCTCTTCCCCCTCTTCCTCCTCCTCCTCCTCTTTTCTCTTCTCCTCTTCCCCCTCCTCCGTTTCCTCCTTCCTGCTCGGTAAAGTGGCCGCCAATCTTTATCAATGAGGAGGAGGCGGTGGTAAGTGTGTCCATTATGCGTGACCAAGCATCCCTCACCTGCCTCCCCTCACCCTGCACCTCCCCTCCCTTCCCTTCACCTGCACCTCCCCTCACCCTGCCCCTCCCCTCACCCTGCCCCTCCCCCTCACCTGCCCCTCCCCCTCACCTCCCCTCCCTGCCCCTCCCCCTCACCCCTGCACCTCCCCCTCACCCTGCCTCCCCCTCACCCTGCCTCCCCCTCACCCTGCACCTCCCCCTCACCCTGCACCTCCCCCCCCTCTTTAATCTCCGTTTCCTCCATATTGGCATGTAGGAAAGTCAGTTGCCGATGAGTGATTTATTTGACAGTATTATAATGTGGTTCCTTACTTCCCTGCCTGAGTTGAATAATTTTATTTACACCCAAATTTAATGTTTACTTTGGGTTGTAAATCATTTTTGTTCCTCGATATATTGAGGAAATTTACGCATATTTGTCATCTTTTGTTTATCTTGTTATGTTAATCTTCCTCTCCTTCTCTTCCTCCCTCTCTCTGTTCCTTTTCTTTCTACTACTCCTCCTCCTCCGTCTCTTCTTCCTCCTCCTCCTTCTCCTCTTCCTCCGTCTCCTCTTCCTCCTCCCTCATTTTCATCTTCTTGTCTCCTCCCTCTCCCTCCTCTTACCTCCCCCTCTCTTCCTCCTTTATCTTCTTCTCCCCGTCTCCTCCCTCCTCTCTTCCCCCACACCATAACTGGGAATATATCGTACGTATGTCTGTATGACTCGAGAATTGTGATGTTCTCTCTCACCAAAGTGATACACAAATATTAAATAGGAGGGACATAAAGATGGTGAATAAAGCGATAGAATTGAGAAAAGGGAGAGAAAAGTGTTAAGAGAATCAGTATAGAAACACACACACACACACACACACACACACACACACACACACACACACACCTTAGGGTCTAATTGGCTAAGTATTTTCTCCAGCGACGAATCACATTAAGAGCCTTAGGTAGAATTTGTTGGGCAGGAGGAGGGAGGAGGATTGCACTGGGGGAGGATGATGACGCCTCTGGGAGGTGGGGAAGGACCTCGACTGTCACCTCCT